CCCCAAAACCCCAAAACCCCAAAACCCCAAAACCCCGTTTGATGATTAAATAATTGATGAAGCTTTATTTGTCCTAAATGGGGAATCTACTTTTTGAAAAATGCAGATTTCACTTCTCAAACCCGGCTCGCTCGACTGCAAAAAATTTTAGAAGCAATTTAGGAATAAGGAGACTCAAGCTAGGAATTTTTCATCTTAGAAGCTGTATGGAGACACAAGAAACAGATAGGAGGAAAATTAGCAGGCTGGGATCGGGATTTAGCCTCAAAACTCATGAGCAAGACTTTGAGCTTGGAGGTCTACCCTCTAGGAGTGACTCCCAGCTCCGTACCTTACTCAATACCGCATGGGCACCACTCTCATCGCTCTATCTGGCTAAAGAACAGGATATTCACACGTAGGTTGAAAGACGGATGGATTTATAAATAAGAAAATATAATTGAGAAAGTAATAGTCCAAGTTTGGTATTCTCGTTCTACAATCTTCATTGACAAACTCAGATTCGTCTTTCAAAAGTAGTCTCTGGGTGGCCTTCCCACCCAACTCAGAGAGGCTGCCTGGCTGCTATTTCCTAATAGAGATATATAAATACGAATGTGAAATATTTTATTTGTAGCATATATCTAGATGAAGCTGGAATGGCGCACTAAAATTAGAGTCTTGAGAACCAAGCCATAAACTGTTTTGTTCTAGCTAATTAATTTTATTTGGGAAATAAAATGTTGTTCGAAGGAAGAGACTTCAAGAAGAGCCTTTTGGAATTTTGGAGATTTTGAGAAGAGAGAATTTTAGCTTTTCGCATGAAATTTTAAGCAGGGATTTGGAGTGAGTGAGGTGGGGATTTAAAGAGACTTGGGTAGGTTTTTTGGGATTGGTAATAGCCCTTTAGATAAGATAATATGCACTAATCTTAGGGATTGTGGGTAAAATTGAAGCATTCTAAATATTAGATGCCACAAGAGCTTCAATTGATAAAGCAACTCAATTGTAGCAATAGATCTTATAATTAATTCTCTCACAAAGTTACTATTCACAAATCATAAAAAATACCAAAACTTGGATGATATACCAAATTTCCCTGCTTTTGGACCCCATTTATGCCCTTTCTCTTCCTAAAATCCAAATTTTCTAAGTTTTCCTTCCCCTCATCCCTCCACCCTTCCCTCCGTCGCTCCCTTCCCAGCCCAAATATTTTCAAATTATGTGGTAAACAACTGGAAAATTGCTAGAAAATAGTTGAAGACCTACAACTTTGCTGCCCAACCCCCAAAACCAAGTAGAACTCACTTTGTAAATTATGATGAATTAAGTTACCAATAAATAATCTCATTATTCTTTGAGATTGTTATGGCCATCTTTTTGGCCAAAGGAGGGTTCTTTAGAGCTCTTTTGCTCTTTTTAGCTCCACTGCTTAGTCCCTTCTTCAAGCTGGGTTTTAGATGTGATTTGGAAGTACTCTTTTGGTATTTGGGGCAAGCAGCAAGGTCTAGGACTTTATAAGCAGTTTTTCGTACTTTTGCCTTTTCTCCGATGTTTTTAACCATAATTGGTTCGGTTATGGTACTCATTTTACTGTCCTCTTTTGAGTGAAATTTGGTCCTCTTTTTCAAGCTGAAAGCATTAGAGGTTCATTTTTTGGGAGGGTTTTGAAGGCTCCTTCTGCACTGATCCTCCAGCTCGATGAACTCAGCTAGCTCACTAGCATCAGTACATTGGGTCTTGATTTTAGTTCCATTGGTCAATCAAGACACACGCTTGAGGTGATGAGACTTCCTTGGGCAAGTGTTTTGGAGGGTTTCTGAGTACCCAGTATCACACTTTTTAAAGGTACTACTAGTCGAAGGTACTCTCTTGGTCTTTCTGTTTGTATTTCTGTGTGGTGAACACAACAAAGACTCTTCAGATTCTCTGACATCTCTCTGAGTTTTGACTCATGGCGATTTAATGGGGTTCAAAGGAGGTTGGTTCCAATTTCTACCTTTCACTTGCTTGGGAGTAGAGAACATCGGAGAAGTTTCCCCAAACGAGCTTGTTACAGATCCCTTGAGAGAAGCTAAAGGATTTTGTTTCATCATTTCAGAAGCACAATTTATGAAATAACCAAGAGTCTCTCACTTTTGCTTCTTGAGGGCCTGATCCCACTTCGCATCATGAGCTGAGGGGAGTCTAGGCTTTTCAGTGCAGCTATTATACTGTTTGTTCAACTTCCTGGAGTTTCTTCCATTCATACTGAAATGCCTCTGTTTGGTCTGCTTTGGAGATCTTTCAGGTGAGATTTCTTCAGGGTCATCGTTGCAGGTGATTTGTTCAAGCTTCTTGAAGGATGGTCTCTCAGACCTCATCGAAGAGACTGAGTCGTATCTTGGACGACTCACTGCAGACTGGACAGTCTTGTAGTTCTGGCTGGCTGAGTGTTCTCTTCTCTGCTTATTTTCTAACAAGTTTTTCTACCGATTTCTGAGTTGATGCCTTCTCCATCAGCAAATTTTGGGCACGTGATACAAGATTTTTATCTATAATTGTAATCAGTATTAGTATAAATCTTGGCTTACGATTAGATCTCTTTTTATTTTTCGCCATCATGAAGGGCATGCTTTGCGTATTTTTTGGCACTCGCTTCTGACCTGAGCCTCCAATGTAGAATCTATTCGCCGCTTTTGAGAAGTACTTGCTCTCCCTATTCTTAATGTTCATGATTATTCTATTTAAAGTTTTTAATTAGGGGTTTTGGGGTTTTGGGGTTTTGGGGTTTTGGGGTTTTGGGG